AGGAAGATTTCAGGCATTCGAATCAATGACGAATGAAAACCACAAACAAAGTCACAAACCACGACATCCAGCAGTAGCACTTGCAGCTACAGACTCAGGATCAAAATGTATTACTTGCAATAGTAGTCATCAATTATTTTCATGCGAAACTTTCAAACGTAAATCCATACAACAGAAGTACGATTTACTGAAACGTAACCTGGTCATATGGCATTACAATGCTCCAGCAGGGGTTCTACTATATGCCAAAGAAGACATAATACACTGTTGCATCAAAATAGACACCCAGTTCAACCATAAAATCATAAGTCAGTTGAAAACACTTCAAGGCCACTTGCACAAACAACTCTAATGTCATCCATCAATCATGGTCAGACCAGTTGCGTTCTTTTGGGAACAGCAAAACTTTTAGCCTCCAACTCTAATGGAAGAACAGTCGAGTGCAGAGCAGTATTGGATTCAGGTTCACAAATAAATATTGTGACTGGACGACTGGCATCCAGATTGGGGCTGCAAGTAAGCTCCAGTTCGATTTGCATCGAAGGCATAGGGATAGGTAAATTGAGTTCAAAAAGTCGTACAACACTTTCTGTGCAATCAAAAGTGACCGATTACAAAACAATACTTGAAGCATTTGTGTTGCCAAAAATTGTATCCAATCAACCATCGCAACACTTACAAATTTCAAATTGGAATCTGCCCAATAACATCCAATTAGCAGATCCTACATTCTATAAGTCTGACAAAATTGATATGTTGCTTGGAGCAGAATTTTATCATCAACTCCTAAGTCCTGGTCAAATACAACTTTCAAGGGAACTACCAATTCTACAGAACACTGTGCTCGGATGGATCGTATCTGGAAAAATCCAAAATGCTAACACAATGATTGCAACATGTGGAATAGCATCAGAAGATAGTTTAGAAAACGCAATAGAACAACTTTGGAAGGTTGAAGAAGTTGATACTCACTCAAAGGTCTTATCAATAGCAGAACAACAATGTGAAGCTCAATTCACTCAAACTACATATCAGAATGTTACGGGACGATTCATCGTTCGTCTTCCTTTTATAAATGACAGATTCGCTTTGGGAGATTCGAAAGACATTGCTACAAATAGATTTCTAGCACTAGAGCGTAGACTTTCAAAGGATAGTCATCTCAAACGACAATATGTAGAGTTTTTAGATGAATATGAAAAATTGGGACATATGACCGAAATAGATATTGAAAGGATTATGTCACCACATTACTTTATACCACACCATTGTGTGCTTAAACCTGATAGTACCACCACCAAGTTACGTGTGGTATTTGATGCATCATCCAAGATAACTTCAGGACAATCTCTCAATGATTTACTACACATCGGACCAACTGTTCAAAGTGAATTACTGTCTATTTTATTACGATTCCGTCTTCCTCGTTATGTGTTTACAACAGACATTGAAAAGATGTACCAACAAATACTTGTACATCCAGAAGACAGACAATGTCAGCTTATCGTTTGGAGAAATGAACCAAGTCAACCTATAAAATACTTTGAACTCAACACAGTAACATATGGTACTAGATCAGCACCGTATCTAGCAACCAAATGTTTGCAAGCTTTAGCTGATGACAATATGCAAAATTATCCATTAGGTGCATCTGCTCTCAAACAAAACTTCTATGTAGATGACTGTTTACACGGGGCAGATAGTCTGAGAACATTGTTGGAAACTCAGAGTCAATTAAACAAAATACTGACAGCAAGCGGTTTTAAATTGAGAAAATGGTGCGCAAATCATCCAAGTCTACTACAAGGAATTCCACACAATGACTTAGAAGTCAATTTAGATTTAGAAAATAATAACGATACAACAAAAACTCTTGGGTTATCCTGGTGTCCAAAATCTGATAGTTTATGCGTCAAGGTTAAATTGGAACCTGTTTGCAGCACGACGAAGCGCAGTGCAACCTCAGATTTAGCAAGGCTATTTGATCCACTAGGACTTTTGTCACCAGTTGTGGTGATGGCAAAGATCTTTATTCAAGAATTATGGAATTTAAAAATGGATTGGGATGAAAAACTGCCGACTGAATTACATAAACAGTGGTTAGAGTTCCGGAACAATTTGACGAAAGTAAATTGTCTGCAGATATCTCGTCATATTTTCAAGGGCGAAGTTCCTGCCAACATTCAATTACACATCTTTACAGATGCATCAGAAAAGGCATATGGTGCTGCAGCGTATTTGCGATCAACACTTCAGAATGGTCAAGTTATTGTACGACTATTGTGCGCTAAGTCTCGGGTTGCACCTTTGAAAAGGTTGACATTACCTCGTCTCGAACTTTGTGCAGCTGTGGTTGGCGCAGAACTAGCAACAAGAATAAAGAACGACCTACAAATAAGAAATTACCAGACGTTCTTTTGGTGTGATTCACAAATAGTGATATCATGGATCAACTCTCCATCATCAAAATTTCACACTTTCGTTGCAAACAGAGTAAGCAACATTCATCAATTAACAGCCACAAGTCAGTGGCGCCACGTCAGTTCGGAACACAATCCAGCTGACATTTTATCAAGAGGCCTTGCACCCCATAAACTACAGTCATCAAGTATGTGGTTTTATGGACCTATGTATGTTCCTGCATGGTCGGGAAGAACTGTGGCCTTCAAAACCATCATCAGCATTAAAATCCGAAACCCTCATTGATCCTGAACGGAAGAAGGAAACTCAAGTATCTACATTGTCTGTTGTTGCAGGCACAGCAAATCCTGGAGAGTTCATATATTCAATAAGACACAACAACTCATTTGGAAGACTTCAACGGATATTATCGTATACTTTAAGATTCGTAAAAA